GAATATGCCAACAGATAAAACAATTATAAAAGGTCAGACGAAGTAATTGAATACTGACAAAGGTATGAACGATGTTGGCCAGTTATATCTGCGATTGCAAAAAATCTCCTGACACTTCCGGTTAGCATTGTTGCTTCGGAATCTGCTTTTAGTGCAGGTAAATGAGTTTTGAGGGAGGTCAGGAGTCGACTGAAAGAAGATATTTTAGAAGTGTTGATTTGCGTTAAGGATTGGCAGGACGCTCATTTTCGACTACAAGATAAATATGTCGAAATCGCATGTCGTCAAGTAAGTGATATTTGATTTAATTATATTGATGAAACTTTTCTTTTCTGATATTTGATTTAATTATATTGATGAAACTTTTCTTTTCTTATCGTTACTTTTAATTTTCTTTAAAAAATTGTACACACTACAAAAAATTGTTCGCGTACAATTTTTAACTCCGTGTACTGAAAATTTAAGTAGCTGGTCCCAAACCTGGATAAAGGAGGAGAGTTTATATTTTATCTATTTTAAAAAAGAAAAATAAAAAAATAAAGATTGCATTTTTATTTTTTCTATCTCTTTTAGTTAAAAAATAAATAAATAAAATTCATTTCCACCAATTTAGTTAAATTTTTATTAGTACTTGGTACTATTACTACCATTATATCTACATTTTAAATTCTTTTCTCGAGCTACGCTGTGCGTACCTTTGCATATAATTTTTGAAGTAAATTCCTTCTGAAAATTGAAAGGGTAATTGAATAATTGCACTTTCAATTGTCAGAAGTCTTTCACTTCGAAAATTATATATAATCTTCAAAGTGAAAGACTTCTATATAATATTCGAAGTGAAGACTTCTGACAATTGAAAGGGCATTCGATTATCCTTTCAATTTTTAGAAGGGATTTTCTTCGAAAATTATATGCAAGGGGATGCGCAGCGTTGCTTGAAAAAATAATTTTTAATACTATTTTAGATTTTCTTTAAAAAATTGTACACGAACAAAAAATAAACAACACAATTTTTAACTCCGCCTACTTTAAATTTAAGTAGCTAGTCCCAAACCCGGATAAAGGAGGAGGGTTTAAATTTTTTACCTAGTTTTTAATATATAATTCACGATTTCAAAATTAAAATTACTTTTTTATTTTCCAATTTACCTATTTGTTCCTTAAAAAAAAAAAGAAAAGAAAGAAAAAGGAAAAACGACGTCTGCTCGTGAGCCAGGCTAGGCTTGGCCCATGAGCAGCGAGCTCGTGGGCCGAGCCGAGCTTGCCCATTTTTGGACGAGCCGAGCAAAAGCTCAGCTCGTGGCGAGCCTGAGCCGAGCTCGTGCCGGCTCGGCCCATTGACAACCCTAGATACGTTACTCTATTATTTATAAATAAAAAATTATTTATTTTAACAGTATGATAGGTACTATTTTTAAATAAATAATTAATTTGTTCCCAACTTTAATAAGGAAAAAAATATCTGGTTTTGAATTTAATTACTTATAAGTGAACTGCTTTTAAGATGAGCGAAATGTGCACTAAAACGAATTTTTGATGACATTTATGATTTAAATTTCAAGTGAAACAAGAATGTTAAAAATTTATACTAGTATTACTAATAATTCATAACCATAAGAAAAATGAAATAATGGAAGCATTTCTATTTTTTCAAACTCTCCTATGCTCACTAATTACAAATTTAAAAGAAAGGAGAATAAATTTTTGCTAATAGTTATTTTGGAACTTCTCTAGTATATACTCAATTGTGTAGCTGCTTTTCAAACATCTTACTTTTATACATTGAAGCACGAGCACTGCGTCTGTGCCTAATACATACTAATACCGACACTCGTCAGTTCACAATCAAGTATTTCAAATGTTTAATTTTTTATACTCTTTTAAAACTTTTAACTCGCAATATAAACTTTTAAACCTGCTTGAACATGGACGGAACACGCCAAGTGGCTCGTACCATGCATTTCCAATGCAACGGGGGCACAAGTCATTGCAAATTTTATGTTGTAAATTTTTAAATATAATTAGAAACAAAATGTCATATATCCATATAAAAAACATGAGCACTGCGTCTGTGCCTAATACATACTAATACCGACACTCGTCAGTTCACAATCAAGTATTTCATATGTTTAATTTTTTATACTCTTTTAAAACTTTTAACTCGCAATATAAACTTTTAAACCTGCTTGAACATGGACGGAACACGCCAAGTGGCTCGTACCATGCATTTCCAATGCAATGGGGGCACAAGTCATTGCAAATTTTATGTTGTAAATTTTTAAATATAATTAGAAACAAAATGTCATATATCCATATAAAAAACAAGACGTGCATAAACACTTAAACTTCTATTCTGATAGACATAATATGTTTTAAAATGAATTAGAGAAACGCGAAATTTTTTTTCACGAAATACCCAAGTTATAATTACTAAGCATCCATTTTTTTTTTTCTTTTTTTTTTTATTAGGGTGAAGCAAGTTGCAACATAAGGGGAGAAAATTTCAGGAACTTGTCAAACTCAAAATTGTTCATCTAAAAAAATAAGCCAAAAAAGAGTATATTAACTTTATCAAAATATAAAAAAAATGTAATCAAGTATAAATAATTTTAATAGAAATCTTATCAAAGTGCTCGTGCCATACCATTTTCAAAACAGTACGTGTTAACGAGATAGAGAGAGAGAGAGAGATGGGGGCTTATGTCAAATCCATAAAACGAGAAGATGAATAAATGCACTGGTCATTTTATTACAATATAGGCAGAGTGTACAGACTTGGACAAGAAAAACATGCCTACGAACGGAATAAACATATACATGCTCTGGACATAAAAGCTACACGAAGTGGATAAATGGATCTATTAAATAATTTTAATAGAAATCTTATCAAAGTGCTCGTGCCATACCATTTTCAAAACAGTACGTGTTAACGAGATAGAGAGAGAGAGATGGGGGCTTATGTCAAATCCATAAAACGAGAAGATGAATAAATGCACTGGTCATTTTATTACAATATAGGCAGAGTGTACAGACTTAGACAAGAAAAACATGCCTACGAACGGAATAAACATATACATGCTCTGGACATAAAAGCTACACGAAGTGGATAAATGGATCTATCACGCAATTGAAGTAGCCAGAATCAAGGTTTAGTGTCAATGAAAGCCTTCACTTCCAATCGAGTATGTCTAGGAGGCTGAGGACTTCTTCTTCGGAGCTAGCAGCGTCACAGAAATCCACTTCGATTCCAAACACATCAATTATACCATCGTTATCATGGTCCATAAAGAGCAAAGAGACCCAAGCCCGTATATCAGACACGAAAGGGTGGGCAGGAGAGATGTCGAGGTAGTCGAATGCAAGGGCACGAAACGCCGACCGATCAGTGTAATCAAAAACTGATTTGTTTATTATGCAAGCAACTTTATTGGAATCCTTTCGACTTACGAGCACAGAGACACTCACCGTCTGGTCAAATGGAACGTTAAATCTCGGTTCCACAGGCAATGTCATCTTGCATGCTGGACCCTCCAAGTGAGACCTTAGCACATCACTGATCCCGGGTGGTGGAATCCAGCTTCCCCTCCGGAGGACGAGCCCCGGTACCACATCTGAGAAGATCAAGCTTTGTTTGGACCAAATATCGATATAAAATTCCAAGTCCTTGAAGGAAAGCGTTGGTGGAAGGGGAGGTTGTTCATCCTGAAGTTTATAGAAGTTTTTGAATAATTTATGATAAGTTACTGTTGGAGGGGAGGGCCGCTTGCAGACTGATGGCCATATCTTCGCGCACAAGCATTTCCAGAAAAAATCATCTCGAGCAATCTCTTGCCACTGCTTACACACTAACATACATGTAGCAAGGTCTTCACCTTCCAGCAGAGGGAAAACAGCCTTCAGAATTTCATCGCATGCCATTTCTAGCACAAGAGAAACAATTCCAGATGGCAGAGTTTTAATTTCAATAGCTGGTTACTGCTTTAGACTGGTTAATAGTTGCCGATTCACAAGAATTCCCTGAAAGAAATAAGGCAAATTCACATTTAAAACCAAATTTGTGTCTAAATTTATTTATAGAAATACAAAAAGCATTCATAAACCAACACCTCAAGTAAGGAACAAGAACCCTAAACAATAACCCGTTATCTTACTTCTTTTCTTGTTGACCATCAAATGCAGTGGTTTTACGTTTATGAACTGTAATGCAATAGATATCTAGATCATGTTTAACATAAGTCATAATATTTGCTCCCATAAATTTATAATTCTCTTCAAATCAGTACACAAAGTAATGCTGTAATGACATGTTTCTCAAGGAGAATCAGACACTAGATTGCAGCATCTAAGAACACATAGACGCTAAAGTCTTACTTATTATATCCAGTCTACGTACCAAACATGAACTATACCTATGAGACGCTTCCAAATTCACTAGTAAGTTTGCAAACATCAAATTGTACACTTTAAAAGAACAGTCCAAGTAAAATAATAATAATAAAAAAAAAAAATCACTTAACAGATATTCCAATATACCCACATGTAATTCTCTACAGTAAGTTATAAGATCATCAACTTTACCGCCCTTTCTCAATGCAAATTAATAAGATATTGTAGCATATGAAAAGATTGCATTCTGGATATAAAAATCAGAAAATGCCCTATAACATGCAAGATCATATGAAGTCAGTAAAAAAATATATTTTCAGCTTCTTTACTTATTCACTCTCTCTGTATATCATCAAATAAATCAAATACCGCGCACATAATTTCAGAGCTTCAAAACAACGGGAAATTTGTAAGATCCAAAAGGCAATGAAAACTAATCAAAGATATAGTTAAAAGGCAAGAAAAAAGAAAATATCCCAAAACAAAAGACTTCAATGTAATGATTTAAGAACCAACACATAAAAAAAATATTAATTGGAATCCTGAGTCAATATGACAAAAAAAAAAAAATGGAATTCTATATATATATATATATATATATATATGGAATTCATCAGAACCTTCATTTGTTAATTTGCAAATTTATTTACCCCAAATAAATCAGAAAATTAAAGTGAAAAGGCTCCGAAAATTGATGAAACTGACGAAATTCATGACCTAGCGAAAAGAAATGAAAAATAGTCGAAGACAATAATTAAAAAGCAAGAAAAGCAAAATTCTTAAAAGCAACAACTTCAATCTATCGATTCAAGAACCCAACAGAAAAACCCATAAAACTAATCCACATTTTCGGGTATATAAGGGGAAAAAAAGGGGTTTAATCAGAACTAAACCCGAGAAGATACTAAGATTACCTGAAGAAGGGTAATGATTTTATATTCCATTTCTTAATTAGCATATTAAACCTATCCCAAGTAAAAATAGAAAATTGAACCGAAAATGCTGTGAAAAATTGATGAAAATGAAGAAATTATTACCTCGGATTCCGTCGGAGTGCGTGTTGAAACAGGGGTGCCACCCGCAATTAGTTTAGAGAGGTGTTTCACGACCTAGTTTATAGTGGGTTTCCTTGGGGGTCCCATTGTTCTTTATAAATGATGTATTCGGTGAATAGAGTCAGATGAGATTATTAAAAGACAGATATGCCCCCTAAAAAATGAAAAAGATCAAAAAGGAAAGATAAAAAGTAATTCTAGTTGGCAATATATATATATATTTTAAATGTTTGCTGTATATAGAATTTTTTTTTTTTTTTTTTGGGGAATTTACATAAATGCACAAAAAATTTTGACTTGCACAAATTTCCTTCAAAAATGTCACTTTTTCCCCCACAAAATGTCCATCTTACTATTTGACATCTTTTTAGGAGCAATAAATGCTTGATTTAAATGCAATTAAAGGTGTGATGTATAATGTGAATTTCATTAAAAATGGGTGGAATCTGTACAAAATACACACACACACACGTAGGAATTGATAGAACTTCTTCTTCATCATCATCTCCATTCCATTATTAACAAGGCAACAAGAAAAGCCATTGATTAATCTCAAATGTAAGGTAATAGGAAAAAAATCTCTTCATGCCATTCTTTACTACTTTAAATGCTGAATAAAACATGGTCATATTTAATTGTCCTTTTTTAATCTTTTATTCATTGATGTGCTTTATCTTTGGTATATTTTAGAAAGGAAAAAATTGCCAATATTCTCGACAAAATGTGAAGGATTCCATATTTAATGGAGCATCGAGTTATACATTCTTTATTTGTGGGAAGATCAATTGATGTTGTAGTTGAGAATTGATTAACATCATTAATGTTTTGCAATAAATTTTTCAAACAGTCAAACACATGATTTTTAGTTTCCCCGAAACTTATGGCAGTTCAACTGTTGAGCAGTATCTTCGAATCGAAATTGTCGGATTAGACATTTTAATTGTCGAACTCGACATTTAGTAATTGTTGGGATGGACAGACAATTTAATTGTCGATTTCGACACCTGAAAAGCTTTCTCTTTTTGGTACTACATGGACCAAAGTATTTCATTGCGTTAATTTGACAATATTAAATGTCGACATATGAATGTGCAGAATTCTTACTTTTGTGGTCCCAACATTTTAGGTATGGCTCATGGTTTGAGATTCATCGTGTCGCATGGGGGGAACTTTGTTCACATGGATAACGAATGGAAGTGGCGAGGGGACAAAATGACTTCCATTTTAGCGTCAACAAGCATTACCGTAGCAGAACTTGTGTTACGATTGAAGGACAAACTTGGTATCATTGAACCCCGCAGTGAAATCGAATTGAAGTTTAAAGTCTCGAATTTGAATATACCTTCGGCAGAGATACACGACAATGAAAATCTAAATTGGTACATATCTGTTCATAAGGAAACTGCACTCTGCATCAGTATTTTGGAAATCCAGCTCCCGAGTGTTGACATGACGAGGGATGCAAACTGTGCAGGGAACCTGTTCTGCCCAACGGAATGTCTCTAAAATCTACAACATGATGAGCTCAATCATCTACAGTGTGTCGAACACCGAAGCACCGGAACCTCTAATTGACCATATCGAGGCTGCAGCATCTGTTGAGCACTTAGACAACCCGTTACATGGTACACATTGTGCTATTATTGATGACATTGACCAGCCAATGTCATCACATTCTATAAGTTCGGGCACATATGAGTGGATTACAGTCGTCGTTCTCTCCGAAAAGCAAATATTCTTTAGCAAGAAACAGTTGTACTCGAAGATTCGTGTGCTTGCTTTGCAAGAAAAATTCCAGTTTCGGGTGAGCTGGTCAACCATGAAAATATTAACCATTGTATGTGTGGACGATGATTGCAAGTGGATGTTACGTGCTTCTACTGTCAAGCAATCTGTAATCTTTATAATCCGTAAATTCATCAACATGCACACATGTTCCCTTGATTTTCATCGTAACGCACATCGACATGCCACTAGTTCTGTAATTGTCGAGCACATTTTGGGAAAACTGGATATTCCATATCGATCGTATGACCTCACCGCTATTGCACGTGATATGGAACGTGAGTTCGGTGGGAAAATCTATTACAACAAAGCTCGTAGGGGGAAGCTTCATGCCTTAACTATGCTACACGGTACACCGAAAGTCAGTTTCCAGAAATTATCTTCGTACTGTCATGTCGTAGAAGAGAATAACCCGAGGACAGTAACCTATATTGAACTTGGTTTTCTTCATAGGTTTAATTACTTCTTCCTAGCTTTTGGTGCAAGCATTCGTGGTTACATATAGTACTTGAGACCCGTTATTTGTGTTGATGACAATCACTTGAAAAGTCCATATAAAGGTACATTTCAAGTGGCAATTGCCCAAGATGGTAACAAACAGATATATCCATTGGCATGGGGATCGTGGATGCTGAAACCAACAAATCCTGGAAGTGATTTATGTCCAACTTAAAAGACCTTATAGGAGACTTCGAAGACCTCATATTTGTTTCAAACAGAAAAAAGAGCATTGACAAAGCTATTACTCAGTTGTTTCCGTTGTCTTACTATGTTTGTTATATCTGACATCTTGAAATGAATATAATACAGCGGTACAGCAACGCAAGTGCAATATTTCTATTCAAACGAGCTGCTACAACTTATCGGGTCGAGGACTTTGAAAGACTCATGGGCCAGATTCGTAGGGTGAGCGCAACAGTGCATGGATACTTAGAGCGAGCAGGTTATTCATTTTGGTCCCGAGCACTATTTATTGGCCACCGTTACAACATTATGATGAATAACAATGCAATGTTTTTGAACTCTATGTTGAGACAAGCCCGTTCTTTACCGATAACCTGCTTGGTTGAACACATTTGGAGTACTATGCAGAAGTGGTTTTATGAACATCAAACATTGAGGATGGAGAACGAGTTACGGATGACATTCGAAAGTGGAACTAAGCTTCGAGCCCATTTGTTGACAAACAACTTAACTTAGGTTGGAATATCCAACGAAGTAGACATAGTCGACTTTTTCGAAGACCCCTGCGCGTGTCGTAAGTTCCGACTAAACCGTATGCCACGTGTTCATACAACTCGTGCTGCTTGCTTTAGAGAAAAGTCTATGTATGACCTTTGCTCCCCTTATTACACATCTGACTACTGAAGGGGTGCCTCTAGCGAAGCTATATATCCCGTTGGACGTGAAGTGGATTGGGTTGTTCTGAGCTTAATTACATATACTCCTATTTTGCCACCACTCGTATGTCGCCCTCTAGGTAGACCACCGACTCGACGTAAGCATTCAAGATGCGAGTTTGCATGGTCGGGTAGGAAATGCACTCGTTGTGTTCGAGTTGGTCATAATCGAAGCACGTGTTCAAACCCCAATGTTTCACAAATTCCTTAGAGGTTTTCAGTGTAATTAACATTGTATGTTCAATGTTCCATACTACACTGTACGTTATGAAGTTATCTTATACATTTTGTGATAATTACCATTTCTGGATGTTCGGCATCCTTTTGAGCACATACAAATTTTAGACTCCACTGTTCTGTTTAGCACCTACGTAACATCCCAACATGTTAAATGTCCGTTCCGACAGATATATTTTTCATTTTCGATAGTTGACGAAAGCGTGCACAACATTGAAGATCAGCTTCACGTACTTGGTAAACTGTAGATTCTATGAATAGGAAACAACTTAATTGTACCATGTTTGACACAATGTCTTCAAAGACGTATAGTTAACCCTCCAACTGTACGGTCGTTTAAAATACTTGAACGCTGTAAGCAAAACTGTAACGACCCAAATTTTAAATAGTTTCAAAAATCGTTACCAAACCTTTATTTCAAGATTAATTAAAAATAATTAATCATCCAACACGAAAATATTTCTAGTTCCATCTATAAAATAAAATAAAAAAAACTTGGAAGAACTCAAAAACAAATTATCCATTACTTTCTATAATCATGCAGTACCTAAATAAATTCATGATTGACTCGTAGACAAGCAAAATCTATCAAATTCATGTCATAATTAATGCTTTGGACCTTAACTCAATATTTTACTCCAATTGTAGATGGTGGTACGTCCTTTCTTGGCAAACACTATAAATATTATAAAAGAACACGATGGAATTTCTGGAATGTTCAAAAACTCAATCAATTCTTTCTTCCCAACATATACGAAAGAACAGATTTGTAAATCGATAGGAAGGAAAATAACGTTTAGTTCAAACTTCTATTTAAAAATCATAAACTACGTATATTTATCTGTAACTAACATGAACGAGAATTTATTCATAAATAAATAAATGTTTACTGCAATAAACTGAAAATAAATAAACATTACGTGCTAGCTTAGATCTTTATTTGGCGAAACAAGACACAACCACACCTTCGAACCACCACGCTCCAACACGACCCG